TTGTTATTGGTTTCTACTTGTTGGACAATTCTTTTGTATTGGCTATAGTTGGTTTCAACTGATTCATTAAGGAGTTGTTTTAATTCATCTAGATCTCTAATCCATTTGTTTTTCTAGCATTGATTACAGAATTGTATAATAAAAACAGCTTTTGTTGCATTCCAATCATTTCTTGCATTATTAGTAGCAGCATTTGTAATATAATAAGCTTGTTGCCATTCATCAGCATTTCCTCTAAGAAAAGCTAACATAATTTTTCTCTGTTTGGCAAACTTCAGCTATTAGCAGTTAAAGCTTTTTCAAAGTTAGCAATCCAAGCTAAAGGGTCTTGAGTTCCATCTTTATGAAAAGGTTCAATGCGAACAACATTTTCACCTTTTTCATTTTTTTTTAGATAGTTAAGAACATCAGCTGCATTAGCCATGATATTTTGGTTTTATTGATTAAATAAAGAATTAAGTATATAGTATTGGAGATTAAAAAGTATTTCAAAAGAGTCACTATAATCTTCAAAATCAAGATGATAAGGAGATTCTAAATCTTCTTCTCTTAATATAAAAGGATTCTTTTAATAATAATTAGTATAGACATCTAAAGATACTATACTTTTAATAATATCAAGAATATTTCTAAGAGAACTAGAATATCTAAAACTAAAAATAAGTTTAAAGATAGTATTTTTTAATTTAGATAGGTTGAGTTGGATATATATTATTTAATCTGGTTGAAATATTCTATAGATTTGGCAGAGAAGTCATAGGCAGAATATTGTTTAATGTATTAGAAATAAAAGTTTTGAAAATCAAGAGATACAGTTGTAGTTACAGGATAACAAATTTCACAAGAATTATCTAGTTTAGTAATAGGTAGCTGAGTAGTATGTTCTTGGGTATATAAGAATACTTTTAATAAGTATCTTTTAAAGTTAAATTGCATGTACTATTAATTTAGAAACTGTTTGTCACAATGCAAACACTTATGCTTTCATTTTTAAATTCTAATTTTTAGAAATTGATAAATATTTCTTTAATTTACTATAACAATAGGCTTTGCACTTAAGAGAAAGTTGTAGAAGGAGTCCTTCTGGTCCTAAAAGAGGTTAAAATGCTAAAATCAGTCTAGTGGTTGCTAAGATATAGATGTTTAAATTTGGCATAATGATAGTTAAAATGCTTCTTCAAGAGAGGTTTCTTACAATTTCTTTACAGATCAAAAATGTTATTACTATTTTGATGTTGAATATCGGATTCCAGAGAAATTTTCTTACTAAGATATGCTTATTAGAAAAGATGTGGTAGATTTTAAGTATATATTCTTCAAATTTCAGTTCAAACGGACCAATATTGACAAAGTTTCCTTATGACTAACTAAAATCAATTATCTACAATAAATTGAGAACTTATTTTATAGTCATCACCAAAATGTTAATCTGTAGTTTTTTCTTTAACTACAGTAATATCAGAAGCTATTCAACTATAGTATAATGACTATAACTTGATAGGTTCTATACAAAAGTCTACACAAAACTTAACAAAATACAAAGTGATTTGGAATTTTAAGACAGAGGCAACAATAGATAGTATATGAAGATACTAAATATTGCATTTAGTTTATTAACTATGAAATGTATGAAGACACTTAACTTTCTTGAAGGGTCAGAAAGTAGTGCTTTTATAGATATTTTACATGTATAAATTATTACAATAAAGACTACTCTATTGCTAATAAATACTATTTATAATAATAAGAACTAATAGATATAATAGATATAATATATATAATAGATATAATAGAAATGATAGATATGATAGAACTAATAAATCTGATAGAAATGATAGATCTAATAGAAATGATAGATCTACTAGAAATGATAGAAATAATAGAAATGCTAGATTTCTGATACAGTAATTTGAGCCAATCAGAATCAAGTCACATATATTATAATTAGTGTTTTTCACAAAAATCATCTTGATTTTGTGATCGCGTGATCAAAATTACATGATCTTGTGCTTATTAGAATCATCGCAGTGAGCTAAATACAATGGTCATTGTTTCATCCAAATTGGTTTAGTATATTAAAAGTTATGATCAAAAATATGTAAAACTCTTAATATTAATACTATTTTTAAACTAGAGACATTCTATAGCCAACTACTTGTAGAGTTGATTGATCTTTCAAGTCTTTTCAATACTGTTAAGTATAGTCTTCAGAATTCTAACCAATCTTTTAGTTTTATTGGTTATTTGGTTAAGATCTTAGTTACTGTTATTCCTCTTTTATCTTGTAACTGTTTAGATATTAAAACTCTTTCTGTTTTTACTTATAGTCTATTTTGAATTAAAAGTTTGATTCATACTGATGTTAACCTGTCATCTAGAGCATCTTTAAGCATAGGAGCTGCTAGTCCTTCTTTATTGTAGTCCAACTGAAAAGCTGCATATCTAGGAAGTATCCTGGATTTATTTTTAATCCAATTTGATATAAAGTCATTTATTTTGTTTAGCTGTTTTCTGCTTGATGCCAACAAGTAGACCAAATATTAGATTTTTGACATAAAGAGAGCTTTAGTTACTAAAATTTTTCCTTTAAAAGATAGGTTTATAGTCACTATTTTTTCTATTTTGTTTTTAATATTTTGAGTTAGATTCTTCCAAAGTGTTTTTTATGATTGCCCTTTATATCTACTTCATATTCTAAAATTCTTAAGACAGTTTCTTTGTTTGCTGTTTTGTATTAACTTTGATTTCATAATTCTGTTACTTTTGCTATATTTGTTATTGGAATTAGTATAGATTTTTCTTAGTTGATTTTAGTATTAAATGCTTGCTCATATCACTTTAGCAGAGCCATCAATTTTTTCCAATCTTGAGATGAGCTAATTCCTATTATCAAATCATTTGCATATACTACAGCTTAAAAACTGCAACTTGGTAGTTGAATTTTTTAATTTTCTCTAAAATTTTAAGAATTAGTAGATTTAAGGCCATTATATATAGCAGAAGAGAAAGAGGATCTTCTTGTCGAACTCCTCTTTCAACTTTAAATAGTTCTAAGATTATGCCTGCATCAGCTATATTAGCTGTTTGCAAATTGAAAAGAGACTTGATAATATTGATGAACCCTATATTGAAGTTCATTTCTTCTAAAATCTTTAGAATAAATATATGGTTTATTCTATTAAAGGTTTTTTGTTGATCTAAAAGCAAGAGCCAATAAGAAACAGTCTGGTCTTTTTGGTTTCTTATTACTGTAAGAATATCTAAAGCAGCATCTATAATTGATCTTCTTTTTATGAAAACTTGTTGTAATTGGCAAATTATTGTTTTACAGATTAAGTTAAATCTGTTTGTCAAGATCTTCATAAAAATCTTGACATTACAATTTGTAAGTGATATAGGTCTCCAATTATCTATATTATCTAACTCTTTTGTTTTTTTTAGAATTAGTATAATAATGCTTTTAGTCTAGGACCTAGGAATGTTATCTGTTTCTAAGCAAAAATTAAACAGTCTTGTGAGTACTGAAATAATTTCATTCTTGATACTCTTATAGAATACATATATAAGACCATCTGAGCCTAAAGCTTTGTTGTTAGAGAGTAAGTTTATTATATTATTAACTTCTTTCTTAGAGACTTGTTTCATTAATGCAATATTTTGCAATTCTGTTATAGATAGAAGATTATGTATAAAAAAGCTTGCAGCTTTTATGTCTATTTTATTGTTTTTATATATTGCCTAATAGGTATTCTTAATATATTGTAATGTAAAGGTTGTGTTTTCTGTTATATATTCTTGTGATGGATGTATCTTATCTTTGGCTAATGTTAAATTTCTTATCTTATATAGAAAAAAGAAAAGTTTAGTAGATTTTTTTCTCTCTTTAATTCATTTGGCATTAGATCTTGTTTGCTATTTTTCAGAAAGTAACTGGAGTTTCTCTTGTAATTTTAACTTAATGTTTTCTTTAGTTACTAGAATTTCATCTGTATTTTCAATGTTAGCTACTTTGTTATCTAGTTTTGTAAGCCTTTTTTGCAGTTTCTGTATTTTTTTTTCAGAAGAAACTTGTAGATAAAATGCTTTTATTATAGACTATACTCTACATTTGTATAGGTTCTACTTTGTAAAATCATAGATGTTTATAACTTCTTCTATTATTCCACTTTTAAGAAAACTGTTATTCTAGCTATTTTGATAAAATCACCATTGTTTGACTCTAGAGGATGTTGGTATATGTTAAAGCTTACATTCTACTAACAAATGGTCTGAGTTGCCAAATTGTGTTGCAATATTCTGACAGTGATAAATATGATTTGTATTTATGAATATATAGTCTATCCTAGTGGCCATTTTATGGTTTTCTTGAGTGTTTTGATAATATGTTAAAAAAGGTTCACTATTATTTATAGCCATACATGTATCTACAAAATTTGTAGTAAGTTCTTTAAGTTGTTCTCTTGTAGGATCATTAGTTGCAGAAGCATAACTAATTCAATCTTTCTGTAAATTGAGATTAGTGTTAAAATCTCCTTCCAGTATGTTGATATATTCCTCTTCATACTGTGAAGTCCAAAAAGTAAAGAACTAAGTCCTATTATCTATATTTGGTAGTGTATATATATTATTTAAAAGAAATATCTGTTGCTTATATATGAATTTTGCTATAATTACTCATCTATTATATAATTTCTTGATATCATCAAAATGAATATTTCTGTTTCTTGCAAGTATTACAGTTTTAGCTGTCCAATAAGAACTGTAATTCCATTGTTGTTGCAAAAAACTTCTTGTATCTATATTTTCTAAGTTGGTTTCTTGAAGCATAATTATATCTATTTTATATAATTTTAAGAGTGTAAGTGTTCTGTAAGCTTTGTTCTTGTTGTTTAAACCTTTAACATTTAAGGTTGCAATTTTGATTGACTTAACCATATTTGTTATATATAAGGTATAGTTTAGAACCTGTTAGTCTTTGAGTTAAAGACCTTTGAGTTCACCTTATTGGATTTGTTTTCTCCTAAGATAGCTATTTTGAATTTGTGTTTGTGCTTTTTCTTAGAGGTGACTACTTTAAACCCATCAGAATCTTCTTATATAGTGTTTGTCAACATCATAACCATTGGCATATCATTATATAATGATGTTATTAGATCATGTAGACCATTTTCTTGCCATATTTTTTGTGTATTTAATGCAATTTCCTTTTGTATTGTTTTTTCTAAAAGCATGAATTGAGTACTTTTAGCACTATTATTCATTTCAATTTCTGTTCTTGGTTGTTCTATTTCTTTATTATTTGGGAAGCTACTATTAGCTTCAATTTCTGTTTTGGTTGCTCTGCTTTCTCATTATCAAGATTTATTTCTAAACAAAGTTTCTTAGTATAAAAGTTTTCTGTACTAAATTCTGGCATAATTTCTTTTTAATAATTCATATGTTTTTTTTCTTGTAATCTTTGTGCCCTTCTCGCCTTTTGCAGATTTCTAAGTTTAACTAAAGTTTGGTATTTGGAAAATTCTTTCTTAATATGTTCTGTTTGTCACAAAAGTAACAAAGTTTTGGGATTCTCTTTAGTCTGTTGTTACTTTGTGATCCCAAGCATATGTATATCTAAGAATTCTATTTGCTAGTTCAGGATTATCTGTTGTTTCAAAAATTACCATCCATTGGTTTGATAATATTGAAGTTTCTTTATATACTAAAGGTTTAATAGATGCAATTAGACTCATGTCTTGGAATGCTATTTTAATTTGATCTAAAATAAAATCTTTCTTGTCTATAGAAGCATTTCAAAGTCTAACTAAAAGAAAGTTATATCTAATATTGATTGAAATGTACCCCTGGAGGTTTTGTTTGAAAATAGTAAGACCTTCTACAGAATATAGTTGTTGCTTATCCTTATTTACAAAAACTATCTCCAAATAAGTTTTTTTTCTTTTGAAAAATAATTAGTTTGACTACAACTATGTCCTCTCCAAACTTTTGCATCATTGCTTTTATAATGTTAGTTGTTAGGATATTTTCCAAATTATTTATCTCAAAAATCAAAGCATTCTCGTTCTTTGTATTAATTCTTTTTTTTGATGAGTAAGTGAAGTATATTGCCTTTTCTTTTTCTAACTTGAAAAACAATTTTGACCATTGTCTTGGTCTCAGTTGGGTACCTGTTTCTTTGGTCACATGACTCATGTCTTGTGGTTTGTTGTTATCATATTCCACATAATTATTTTGTAATATATATTCTGTTTGTTTTGGTTATTTTGTTAGTTCTTAACATGTTTCTTTGCTAACTGTCATGCTTTTAGCTTTTTTTCGATTTTATCTTGGTTTTAACTTTTTTTAGAAGTTTCTTATCAACATAGTTTTCATTAAGACCTACTATTTTGTTTGCATTTGCTAAAGTATCTAAAACAGATTTTTTCAAACTTCTAGCCTTGTTTGGCAACTCTGCTTCTTGGTTTTGTTTTTCTTCTTTGAAGAAAGAAACTCTGATTTTTTTGTTTTTTTCTATCCTGCCTGTTAAAGAGCTAGACATAACTATACAGACTTGTTTTCTTTTCTTTGGCATAAGAGTTTTAGCTCTTGTGGTATAGTTTTTTCTAAAGT